TTTTTTAAAGATTTTATTTATTTATCTTTAGGGGGGAAGGGAAGGAGAGAGGGAGAGAAACATCAATGTATGATTGCCTTTTGTGTGTCCCCTGCTGGGAACTGGCCTGCAGGGAACCGGCCTGCAACCCAGGCATGTGCCCTGACTGGGAATCGAACTGTGATTGTCTGGTTTGCAGGCCCGAGCTCAATCCACTGAGCTACACCAGCCAGGGCCTGTAATTTTAATGCAAGGATTTACAGCTATCAATTTCCCTCTGAACACTGCTTTCACTGCATCTCTTCATTTCCTTTCCTTTTCTTTCTTTTTCTTTTCAGGTTGTGATTTCACTTGTCTTTGAAAATTATTGCTGTCCTTTCTATATTTTTTAAAACCACATTTTATTCATCCGTTCATCAGCGGACGACAGTTGTTTCCACTTTGGGACTATCCTGAAAATGTGGTTCTGAACATTTACGTACAACTTTTTGTGTGGTTATATGTTGTCAGGTCTCTTGGGTATACACGTAGCAGTGAACTGCTGGGTCACGTGGTAACTTTATGATTAACCTTTGACCTCAAGGTTAACCCTTGAAGTCAGTGTTAACCTCAAGAATTTAACACTGACATAGTGATATCACCTGACACGGATACATTCACGTCACCCGCATTGTACCAACAGTGCTCCTCACAGCAGTTTTGAAATGGAGCTAAAACCTATACACGGTGAAATCCCCAGATCTCAGGCGTATGTGCCAATGAATTACAAAAAACGTCTACATCTGTGCTGCCCCCACCACTGTCCCTGAAATTTTCTTGTCCCAGCCCCTTCCCACCCACTTCTGCATCGATTATTATTTTGGTAATGAAAGCTCTGGAGATGGCCACGAAGGACTGCTATTTATTTCAACTTAAGAATTTTCAGAACACACTCCCTTCACTTTTTTAGCTCAGAGGCAGACAGGGCAGGAGGGGAGATGGTGAAGGTCGCGCTAAGCAAGCCCCTGCTCTTCCCCCGACGCTGTTAGCTGCCGCTTGTTAGCTGTGACTGCTGGCATGTTAGTCCTGTCTCCGAGTCCCGGTTTCCTCAAACGTAGAATGAGTGCTTGGGGAACATCAGTTAGAACAATGCATCTGAAGCACCTGGCACCATGTGGGCACCAACCAAACATTTGCTCCCTCCCTATTTCTGCCTCTCTCTCCCTTATTTGATTCTCAAAACCACCTTCATGGAATCTTTATTCACCCAACAGATGCTTATTGAATATCAACTGTGTGTCATGTGCTAAGCCCTGAGGAAACAATGTGAATTAAAATAGCCACTGTCCCTGCCTGCCTGAAGGTTATGGTCAAGAGGGGAAGATGGGAGATGGGTGCTAATCAAATTACCATAGTAGAGTAAGGTTAGGAAGGCATAGCCAGCGCTCTGAGAGAGTATAATGAAGGCTTTCTTTCTGGGCTGCTGATCCAGGAGGACAACAGAGAGGAGGTGACCCTTTAGCTGAAAACCAAGTAAACAGAACAGGATGAGGCAAGTTGTAGAGGGAATAGAGGAGGGCTTTCCAGGCAGAAGAGACAGCACATGCAAATGCCCTGTGGTAGAAGAGAGCATGGTACATTCAAGGACTGAAAGGAACCCAGGTAGCTACACGGCAAGGGGGCAGATGTGGCTGAAAAGGGTGAGAACTAGGCCTCCCAAGGCCCCTTCAGCCATTGGTTAGAAGTCAGGTCTTTAGCACAAGAACAGGGCGGAGCCACGGCTGGCTCTTCAGCAGGGGTGGGGGCCGCAACATGATGTGGCCAGATGTGCCTTAGAAGAGAGAGCAGCAGCACAGGCTCCGCTTCGCCCTGGTGAGGAGCCAGTTGCATGGAATTTAGCAATTCTGAAATTTAGCAATTCAGGACTTGGAAGTGGTCTGGACGCGGGGAGAGAGGGACAAGGAGGACACTCCCGTTTGTGAGCCGTGGGTGAGACCGATGCTGGGGAGACAGAAGCTCCCAGAGGGCCCCAGGGCTGAGGGGAGGGGCTGGGTGCCGTTACCTCCGTTTTGAGTTGCAGAAGCAGGTCTTGTCTGGTTATGGCCGGATGGCTGGATGAGGTGGGGAGGTCTGCCCCTCCTGAGGAAGCTTCCAGCTGGTGTGTGTGATGCGGAGGGGGCTGGTGGTTACACAGGCTCTGTTGCTTAAGAGCTGGGAGCATCCACGTGTGGGTGTTCTGGAAGCAACTTCGCATCTCGTATGGAAAACAGCAAGAATGAAGCCAAGACACTGTTTCCCGAGAGTGCAGAAATGCCCTGGGTGGTAGCCGCCCCGCTCACGGTATGCGGTCCTGGCACACAGTAGGTGCTCAGTAGCCGGTGACCCTCTGCTGAGGCTTGCCCAGCACCTGTAGGCTGGGGGCCACGGAGGTTAGACTTTATCTGCTTCCTCTCACCCACCTCACGGCAACCTCAGATTCAGGGGCCAAATTAAGAATAGTGGTCTCTTCCCTAGACAAAAAGGAGAGGGAAGGTGAACTTTTTTGAGTACCCAGTATGTGCCAGGGACTGTGTTTGGCTTTTTATACCTATTGTGAGGGTTGAATACTAGATAGATTTGAAGCATAAATGAATCCCCACTTGAGATTCAGAGAGGGGAGTACTTTTGCTTAAGAGCACACAGCCAGCAAGTGGCAGGGGCAAGGTTCCAGGGTGGCTGTCCGACCTCTCAAGCAGGAGCCCTTCCCACCACAGGTAAGACAGGAACTAGGTACCAGAACAAAGAGGTCAAAGTCCGTCCTGAAGCCCCCAGGTGTCAGGAATTTGAAAAAAGTGAAAGTGATGCTAATGTAATTGCCAAAGCTGAATTTCAGTTTCAAAGCACCTCCCCTCTTGGGGTGGGGGGATACAATTCTCCAGCTGGGAAGACAATTACCTCCCATATGAGCACTTGGCAATTGGCTGCAAAAGGTAATTAGCACTACATGCTGAAAATAGGGAGAAAGCAAACCTTGGCTGAGGGCCCCAGGGAAGTGGCAACAAATTATTGTTGTTTTAGAATTACAAACACCAACAGGCCGGTTCATGGATTGTATTGGGTTGTCTTCTCCCAAAGAGCTCTGCCTCTCCCCTGCTTTCTAGAGCCCTCTGGGTCAGACTGGCGGGCGCCTAGTAGGGCACCTTCGCCTGGTCCCACCCTGCTTGTGAGACCTCGGGACCCGGTAAGCATTTCAGGACAGTGAAGCTTGGCCCCCATTCTTGTTCACAGGATCCTCCCAGGCCGCCCCCCCCCAATAAATTAGCGGTCTGTGGGAGGAGCTGGCCTCTTGGTGGGTCTCTCTCAGCCCTGGAGGGCTTCTGTGGTGCCCAGGCCACCTGACAGGAAGGAAGTAGTTACTGAGCACTCTATACATGTGAGACATTCTGCTAGGTGTTTTGTGGGTAACGAGGGACATCAACCCATCTCTCTCCCTGGGGGAGCACACAGCATCACAGAACCCAGAGGAGGAAGCTATTTGGTGCGGTACCAGCTGTGGTCTTAACCTCAAATTACATACCCAGGAAGCTTCCCTTTTTCAATTTTATTTCAGTCTATCTGGGCCAACATATCTTTGACACCTCCCCACCATTCCCTGAAGCCTTTGGCAAGCAATGGATTCAAGTCAGAATTCATTTACAATCATGGTTACCTTCTATTTATGGCCAATGAGATTGGTTTTCCATTTGCAATAGTGATTTAACCCTGAAATAAATCTATTGGAGTTTTAAAAGAAGAAAATGTGCACCAGCTTGAGGACATATGTCAACAAGTAAAGGCAGGAGTGGGGACCTGTGGCATCCTGACACCTACCCAGAGTGAAGCAAGAGGAAACACTGCCCGCACCCAGGCCACAGGCTCAAAACTGTCTGTGGAATCCCCGTCACTCCTGTCTCCGAAAGACCCCAGAAAGCAGATTTCCCTTTTGGCCTGGGATCAGCTGGCAAAGGAGCTGCTTGCCATAAAGGAGCAATTAACAACTTTGATATTGTTTTCTGTGGAAACTGTTTTCTTCCCTCCCACCCCGCCCTCTGGGGGAAAAATTAATATAAACAAAACTGCTTGGACTCAGTTAAGAACTGGATGAGCTGAGTGTTGTTTTGCAACGAAGATCTCAAGATGTTTTAAGGGACAGTGATCACAAAACAGCAAAGCCTTCCACCCAGCGAGAGAGAGAGAGAGGGAGAGAGATAACTTGGGGCCTGGCTCCCAGCCCAGGGCCCACTGTAGGTCTTTGGATGCCTGAGCCCTGTGGTGCCCCTCACCCACCTCTTCTCAGATCATCTGCAATATAAACAACATCAAAACCCAAATACATAGCTAACAGTTATGCCAAAATTAAAACTAGTTTCTACTTCTGAATTTTAAATGTACTGATTGCAAAATTCTGGATAGGACTGTCAACATGGACTTTTGTTCTTGGGTTTCATTTGGGTTTGGGGGTTTCTTCTACTTTCCTGGTGCCCTGGGCACCTTATCTGGCCTAACTATTGGTGGCTAAGGGAAGGTGGAGGGAGGGTGAAAGGATGGCCTGGCCCTGCTCGGTCACTGTCACTAAGCGCAGGTGCAGAATGTTGATGTGTCACCTGTCAGTCTGACATCGGTCTGTTAGCCCCGGCTGGTCAGGAACCTGACCCATCGCTCAGCATCAGCTGGATTCTCAGCAAGCAGTTACGAGAGTTTACTCCACACAAACCCTCTCTGTTTCGGACGTGAAGAGATCAGGAAACACAGGTGGATAACAGCCTAAGAATAAGCCACATCATCACACACAATAGCTGTGAGACACCTCATTCCTACTCCATCAGACCAGTGTGCGGCCCAAGGCCACGCCTTGTCCTGCTCCGTCATCTGATACATAAGGAAATAAAAGTTCACTGTTATCGTAGCCTCCTACAAAGGAGCGACTAATGTGTGTATAATTTAATGATGTAATTTAATGTGATGTATTGAAGATTTGCTGGAGGAGAGAGAAGGGTGGAGCCAGGTCTTGGCTGAACTTTTTTTTTAATATGGAACGCTTCAGGAATTTGAGTGTCGTCCCCGTGCGGGGGCCATGCTCATCGTCTCTGCATGGTTCCAATTGCAGCGTGTGTGCTGCCAAAGCGAGCACTCGGTTGAACCTTTTAGGCGTAGGGGGGAGCCGGTGGGGGAAAGAGAGCTTGGAGGGCAGCATCCACGGCAGATTCTGACCCACCCCGCCTTCCAGTGAATGGTTGCCTGGTCTACAAAACAGTTTCTGTATCTAAATAAGTGCAGAAGCACGGAGATTGGTACTTCGGAGAAAATATTTTCCCGAAAGTCCGATTCCAGCTCTGCTCTGACATACCGAGACCAGCCCAGACCTGGAGAAAGCCCTGCTTCACCCCAAACTGCCCCATTCCCCACTGCCCTCAGGGGAGCAGTGCCCACGCTCTGGGGTTAGTGGCCATGTAATTGTTTCTACAGGACACTTCGGGCAAGTTGCTTTCTGTTCCTTCCCCCTGGGGGAGGTCAGATGATATTAGGACAAGGAGGGTATTGTGGTGGCAACCAGCTTTAAAAGTGACCTTAAATGGGTGTGATTCTGCTACAAGCTCTAGGCACACACGGGCACCCTCTCTGTTGAGGATGTGAAGAGATCAGGAAACACAGGTGGATAATAGCTCAAGAATAAGGAACATCATCGCACATGGGCACTTAAAGCCCAGGGACATCCATGGACATCCGTGGGCTTTAAGTAGGAGAAATACGGGAGTGGGTTGGTTGTGCCTTCTTTCCCTGGAGAAATAAGAAAGTTGGATTCTTTGCTGCTCATTTTAGGGAGAAATAAGGAAGTGAATCTTCGTGGGTAGGGTGTTTTGGCTAACACAAAACAAAAACTTGGGTGGGGAGAGATTGTGAGGCTGAGACTAGAAATTCCAGGTATCTCCTTGGGTTCAGGAAAGTTAAACTCTGCCAGGACCTCCTGGTGCAAGAAGTGGCAGCTGGGACAAAGAAGACTGGAGCTGCTTGCTCAGTGTCCAGGACCACAGGTCGCTCTCACCTCGGTTTCTCTAACTGCTGTCTTCTCCTCTCTGTCAGCTTCCATGCTCAGCTTCCTCAGGCTCCACCTGACTCCATATGACTTCCACACCCAGGAGAATCTGACCTTTCATCTCTCTTGGTGAAAACTGCCCTCCCCTCAGAGCTTCTGAGTTCAGTACCCTGATGGTGGAGTCCAGGCACTGGCTGGACCTGGTCCAGTGAGCTGTGTCTGGATGAGTGGAGGTGTGAAGGGGTGTGCTGGAATGGCTACGCAGACCTACAGGTGTAAGAGCAGCAGGCCCCCCAAGGTGTGGTAAAGCTGAGTGTGCCCTCTCAGTGTGAGAACCAAGAGTAAAAGTGGTTTATGACAGAAGGAAGTGGGATCATGGCATCTCGTCTTCTGGGTTTTTCAGTCCCATTCAAAGACCAGTCCCTTCTTTAGGAGCTGCCAGGTTGACACTGCAGGACCCCGCCTCCATTAGTAGTTGATTGGACAAAGAGTGGGCACGTGACCCAGGTGGACCAATCCAATTGGCTCGCCTGGGACCTGGAACCACAATGTGTTAATGCACTTGCTAGGCAACTCTGGGGAGCCAGATCCTGTTGCAAAGACTGCGAAGAGGAGAAAGTGGGTCTGCAGAGGGAAGAGAATGAAACAAGTGCAGAAAGTGGAAACTCAGAAATAGGAGATGGTGTGGATTGGTCGGTGATCAAATCCCTGCTTCTAGTATCTCTGGAGCCTGGCTACCTCCCTCCTGCCTTTGGCTGCCATGGGCAAATTTCTTTTAATAAATTTCTCTTTTCTGTTAGTCCAATGAGGGTGTTTTCTTTTACCTGCAACTAGAATTCTCATCAATACAGATATCTAATAAAATAACAATAGCAACAGCTGGTGTTTATTGAATGTTTATTCTGTGCCATACATTCTTCCAAAGGGTTTATAAGGATGATCTTATTTGAACCTTTCAACAACTCTGTGTGGTAGGTATTATTATTCCCATTCCACAGTGAAGAAACTGAGGCACAGATGGGCTCACCTGCTCAAGGTCAAACAGCTTAGTGGAGCCAGATTCGAACCAAGGCAGTCTGACTTCAGAGTCTGGGCCATTGTCCATTACTACAGTGTTTTTTGTTGCGACGTCTGGGAGGAGGCCTGAGCCCACCTATCACGTGCTCACTCCAATCCTGTACCCATACAGAAAACTGGAGGAGCTGGCAGCTGAGGTCGAGTGTTTGCCCTCTGCCTGCCCTGCCCTGAGCACCTACCCCTATCTTCAGAGGTAGTGGGAGAGGCCAGAGTCCCCGGGTTTCCATGACATGGCACTTTGGGGTGGTAAACATTAAACCCACTGGCCTTCCTTTCTTCTAGTGCCCAGAGACCTCTGGAACTCCCTAGGGGGAAGCTGGAAAAGGACTGGACTGGACTAGAGGTGAGGCACATGGCCTCTCTTACCCTCCAGAAGTGCTTGCTGGGCACTTGGTGAATGAGTGGCAGCAGTGCATCCTCTGTGTCCTGGGTGGAGACCCCATGGCACCGTGGTTCGGGGCCTGGGCTGCAAGCTCACCCTGGCTGCCTGCTCCTGACTTGGTCTCCAAGCCTTTGTTTCATTATCTGTAGAATGGGGATCATAATAAGCCCGACCCAGAGGAGAAAACGAGACAATGCAATCAGAGGACTTAAACATCAGGATCAGACTAGGGAAGATGCTCCTGTGTTGAGACTAGTCAGGGGCCCTCACTAGGTATCCTATAACCCCATTCTTTCAGAGTTTTTGTCTTGTTCTGAAACACGAAAAGGCAAATTCCAAGGTGTTCAGTGGGATATCTCTATGTGATGAGATTTCAGGGTGTTTTAATTTAATTTTTCTTTTTGCAGTGAAACTTTCTGGAGTGAGCATAGATGATTTATAGGTTTTAAAACATTGTCTTTACACATATAAAATATTTTTATTACTATTTACCTCAAATGCTTTAACAAGGATAAAGCTAAATGCAAGAGGGTAGGTACTTGCCCAAATCTTCAAGCTGCTGAGTGGGGGATATTCGTGAGCTGACTCTCCAGCACCCACTCCCCTCTTCGCCTTTCAGAGCAGACTGGGTGAACGGGACCCCACCCTGTCTCCAACCAGGAGCCTTGACTGGTTTCCATCGGTTATTTTGGTGACTGGACTAGGCAGCCCCTGAGGGAGGTTTGGTTTGCAACACTCCATTCCAATATTTGTGTTTGTTTGGAAGTGGATTTCCACATCTCTGTTATATTATAGGTGACTTCCATATGTCGCCTGGGAACTTCCACCTGGGTGAGTTTGAGGCCAAGAGGAAGAGGAGCTGAGAGCTGGAAAGAGAGAGACAGTCCTAATTACATCACTGAAGCCATTGGGAGAAGATTCTCCAGGAGGGAGACTTGTCATTTCATGGACCACTCAGAGTTCCTCTATTTTCAAAAATAGGCTAGTAAGTTGGATTTCCGATTACTTAACAAGTTGCAAACTGATAAAGAAACTGAGTCCAGAAGTGGGATGTTGCAAGTAATAGGTTCTCCAATGCAGGCGGGGCTGTGGAGGAAGGTGGAGCAGGGGTGGACTCCAGCCCCAGGCTGGAAGGTGATGAAGCAGTTGGATACATTGGGGTCTGTTGAATCTCGGCATTCAAACCAGGTGCCTGCGCCTTGCAGGAAATTTCCGGGACTTTGGAATAGCTGACCATTTCTTTTAGTCACTTAAATTCCTACAAGAGATGTGATTCCTTTGAAATGGGCCTGCTCTGAAAGGAGAGAGGAAAGACAGGGGGCTTTGCTAAGAAAGGCCCTTTTTACTTGACACCTGCAATCCAAGTTGATGGGGAGTCCAGGATTGCAGCCCAAAAGCTGGATTCTCTACACCGAGCTCTGCGCAGTGGAAGCAGAGGCCAGGAGGTGGAAGACGCAGCAGGATACAAAACTGAAGATTCCTCAGGTCTCTCCTGAGCACATCCCGTTATGCTTTCTTATCTGACAAGGAGACTCAACTCCTATTCTCACACTTCTGCCAGGATGCAGACAGTGGACAAGAGGCCAATTAGTGATATCTCTCCACCCCTGCTGTGGCTTTGACATGCCAAGGTCAAGGCCATCCATTAAACTGCAGGCAGGGGGATGCATTGAGCCCAGCGCCAGTTGTCAGGAGATGGATATCCCCGGGTTGTGTTCTGAACACAAAGATACGGCACAGTTTCCATGTATTTGACTGGAAGCAAATAGATTAGACAACTCCTAAGCCTTTAAGAATATGGCTAAAGTAATCCCCAGTCTCGCCAAAATCAGCCCACCATTATACAAGCCTTAAAGCATCCTGGGGTCAAAGAATTTGAATCTAACAGGAAGTGGCATGGCCCCCAGGCGGAGCATCTCCAAGGCCCATCTCAGACGTGCCCATCGGGGACAGGGAGATGGATGGACAGGCTGATGCACAGGCAGGAGGGAGGAGGAACCTTCAGGAAGACTTTACTAGAGATGAGGAAAGCCCTGTGTGTGTGTGTATATCTTCTCTCTTCCCTTTGGGTACAGCCAAGCTCTTTTCCTACTTACTAGGGATGGCTTCTTCCCTGCTTCCGTTCAGACGGACCTGCCCAAATCTGCTCTGGCTGCTGGAATCCAGCCCCCAGTAGCAGGCCTTGACCCTTCCTCTTGGCCAGCAGTCCTCTCTAGGGCTGAGAATGGGAAGCAACACGCTCCCTGTTGGAGCTTGGAGCCTGCTCACAAGTCCCTTTAGAAATACAGAAGAAAATAGGGACATTGTTCCCCGGACAATGGGGGGGGTTTCTCACATGGCGAGTTCCCCAGGCCTTTGTGAGGAGAGCTTCCTTTAGTGGGAGCAGAGGATGCCCTCTGGGCCAGGGCCTGGCCAGTTCCTAGGGTACCCAGTACAGGGCTGACTGTGGGGCGGAGCCTGGGGGGAGGGCGGAGCCGAAGGGGGGGAGAGGGCAGCAGCAAGGGTGAAGCTCAGGGTGGGTTAAGGACCGCAGTGGGGCAGGATTAAAGGGGTAAACCTAGGACTGGGGCTGAAGCCCAAGCTGGAATGTGGCTCAGGGTCAGAGCTGCTTCTGGGAGGGCATGTGTGCCCCGCTTGGAAGCCCAGGCTGCAGACCTGGGCAGGCTGGGGTCTTCTCTTTGCATGGTCTCCGGTGGCTCTCTCCCCTTGGTCTTCGCTCCAATCTTATGTTCTCACCTGAACACACTATTTAATGCCACAATCTGCCCCCTCAACACTCCTGTTCCTTCTTATATCTAGCTCTTTATCCATTTCCTTATCACCATCTAACTTAGTATATAATTGACGTCTTACAATGTTTATTGTTTGTTATGTCTGTCCTAACAAGCGGGGTGGCTCTGTGAGGACAGAAATCTTCGACTTGTTCACTTGTGTCCCCAGTTCCTAAAACAGTGCCTGGCACACAGTGTTACCGAACAGAGGTCTGGGGGTGGGGCAATATCTGGCCCACCTAGGGATGCCAAAATCTGCTACAGAACCACAGAGGCCCCTCCCAAGGACAGAATACTAATATCTACTGGGCTCTTCTGTCCGCTGCCAATTGGAAAGACATCTCTCAATGCCTGAGATTTGTGAAAAGGAAACGAAATGTTTATTTAATGCTATTCAGGCCTAACGCCTCCACTAAAATATCAAAGTCCTTTAGGGTATACACCCCCCCACACACACACACAGCTCTCCCTTCTCCCACTGTCCCAACTCTGGGTACTGTAAATCAGGAAAAAAAGCACATGTCCGTTTTTCCAGGCTGCTGGCATCGTCAGCTGTGTTGACCGTCAGGCAGGATCTCTACTTACTCCAAAGTCACGTGGCACCCTCTCACGGTCCACTGGCAAGAGTTCTTTGTACCCAGTTCCAGTCAAAGTCTCTGTTGCTTTTCAGGCCCCGTGGCCAAAGGGGGCACCCCAAAGCCACGTGGGCCTCTTCTACTAAAGCTGGAAGGGTCAGCAGTCTGACCAAAAGCGCGTCTTTCTTTTTCACCTGGCTGCAGAGATCTCCATTCTGGCAAAGCTGCGTAGTTTTCCCTTTCACCTGGCTGCAGGGGTCTGCACTCTGGCCAAAACCACATGGCTCTCCCCTCACCTGGCCAAGAGGGGGGTACTCACTCTGCCCAAACCGCAAGGTTCTCCCTCTCAATGGCTACCGCGTCTGGGTTTAAATCTCCGCACCCATCCTCCTTTGCAGCCCCATTTATGACTCCTCCCACAATCAGTTACACCTGCCAGGACTCTCATACCCGCCCCTCCCAGCTTTAATAGGCTGCCATCATTAGTCTGGGCAGATATGGCCCCAAGGTGCGGAGCCAATCAACTCCAAGCTCTCACGCAGGCGCTGTAACTTGGGGGACCTGCCCCTAGTTACATCCTGGGTAGAAGCCACTCCCTTCTCCCTGGCTCAAAACTTGGCCACAGCTATTTAACATACCTATGAAACCAGTTAAAGGTTATAGATATGTTAAATAATCATTCCAGAGGTTAGCAGCAAAACTGTTGCTATGCAAAACAGCTCTCAATGGCTCTGCTCCACTTGTCCCTTCCCCCAACTGACACCTGGGGGTGGGGGTGAGGACATCTTAATATTTCCTGGACACCCTGAGCTCTGGGCCCCGTTCCAAATTCTTTTCTGGGGCCCTTCTGTTGGCTGCACTCTGTTACAACAGCAGGCACTTAACAAAAGTGGGGGTGACGTTAGTGATGCCACCTCCATGTTGCAGAGAAGACTGAATGCAATCTTACAGCCGTGACGAGCTTCACACCAGGCAGGCGGGCACTTCTGCAGTAATAGTTTCTACATGCCTCAGTCTCCTCATCCATTAAGTGGGAGTTAAAGTCTTCTCGTCTGAGGGGCTGTCTGAGGACTGGATGGGTAAATACAAACAAAGCACTCAGTAGCCCAAGGCAGCACGCCCAGTCAGCCTGCAGTTATGCTGGGCAGCGTCGTTGGTTGTAATGACATTGCCCCGGTTTTCTTAGTCCCTTCCATTGTATCATTGACTTTCTAAAGGCGGAGCTGGAGGTGGCTCAGGGAGTCAGAGGCTGGACCTCTGGTTACATCTGGGCCTGAGAGAAAATGATCCTTCCCACCCAAGGGTCAAAAACAGGCTAAGGGTTTGCAGACCCCTCCTCCTTCAATAGCCACCTCGATTTCAGGCCGTCTCTCCTTCCTCCTCCTCATAGCCGACTCCTTGCTGCTCCCTGTACACAAGCCTTAGAGTTTTCATCTCTCTCCGTTATCCTTCACCAGCAAGAGCCTGACACCGCCACCCCCACCCCCCAGCCTGAGCTCACCATTCCAGCGTTGCTCACTGCAGAAGGCTTCCTAAGTCTCAGTGGCAATGAAAATGAAAACTCTGGCACTCCTGGCCTTCTCACGTCAAACTTAGCTTCTCATTCCTGGTGAACTCCAGGCCTCGATCTGGGCAGGGACACTTAATAAATGTGGAATAAGTGCATGAGGAGAGAAAGGCCCCAGCTCTGACCCTGACCTTTAGGTAACAAACATCTCTGGCCTTCGGTTTTCTCATTCTAATAGGGATTTTAAGTGCCTGCCCTGTCCACCTTGGAGAACTGTTGTGAGAACCAAATGAGACCATCAGCTCTTAGAGCAAAGGGGACTTGGAGGTCAAGCAGTCTAATTTGCTTATTTTTTAAAAAATAAGGCTCCAGAGCCCCAGAGACAAGGTACGTTGAGGACAGAAAAACCTAATGTAATGAATTGCTTTCTACCGGCCAAGTGGGCCTGGGATCCTGGAACCTGGGCTGGGTTAGAGATGGTTCAGTTCAGCCGGCTGGAGGGAATCTGAGCCGGGACAGGGAAAGTGACTTGCTCAGCTCAGCTGGGAAGCTAGGGCACAGCTGGGAGTTAGGATTTCCAGTTTCTGGCCCAGGCCTCCTTTCTGTTGTGTTGATGGCACAGGTGGGCGAGGGGGTGGCGCCCTGGGAGCAGAGGCAATGGCTGCTGGATGTTCTTTCCACAGTTGAATTCTCCTTGGGGGCAGAGCCCTGGAGCAAGGTAGGAGGGATGGGGGAAGGTGGCAGGGCTGGCCAGGTGGTAGTCCTTCTTGTTGACAACCAATCCCTGGACCCCCAAGGTGGGCTGGGGCGGGGATGGGGTGCAGATACCTAGGAGGAAATCACCCCACATAGGGAACCCAATGCTGGCCATATGCCACAATCAGAAGGGCCCACCCCTCATAGATTTGGGGAGATCAGAAGTCAGGAGCAGATGCTGGGGGCCCATGATAGGTGGGATGGGGTCCCCCAAATTCCGTGCTGGTTCAGCCTCTCAGCCTCCTCTAGACTATGACAGGCAGACTTTCCACGCATGGGAATTTGCCCCTGGCTCACTGATGATGGCATCATCTCAAGCCACCTGGTACCCTAAACACTTCCTTGGAGTTTGTGGGCAGTTACAGAGCCCCTCCCAAGTTCTGGGCTCAGGGTGCCCTCACCCAGAATTTCTTATGCAAAGGTGTTGTATTTCCTAGACTTCATTCTCCTACCACCCCCATGGTTTTTGCCATAAAAATCTAACTCATTAAATATATAAATATTCACTCACTGTTTTGATTCACTTTTAAAAATAGAAACTTATATCAGAAAGGAAACTTTATATCTCTCCTGTAAATAAACAATATCAGTTGCTAAAAGTATGAAAGGAAAGAAGAATACATACAAAGACTTTCTTGGCTTCTGGTGTGAGGCTCCAGGTCCGGTTCCAATTGTACTGATGAGACACAAGCGTGCCCTCTCTGGGCCTGTTTTCTCCTCCCTACAGTGGGGTTGGTGGGGGGTAATGGGTGCAAGATGCCTGGCCCTGAGCTGGCGTGGAGCAGGTAAAACAGAGACTCTAGGCTGGTGTTGGTTCTGCTGGTGCCGACATTCTCCCCTCTGCCCTGGCCTCAGTCCGCTCCTGTGCATGCTCCCTCCCCCCACTGATGTAGAATTTTACAGTTTCCTGTGCACTTTTCAACCACTGTCTCATATGACTCTCACACCACGTGGTGGGGGAAGCCAGGGGAGAAGTTGTCTGCTTGTTAAGGGGCAGGAGAGCCCGCAGAGGTCAAGTGACTTGCCCAAGGACACCAGGGGGGTGTGTGTGGGGGGAGCAGCTCTTGAACCTGGACTGGCTCCACTGCCTGGGAAGTGTGAGCTCTTTCCTCCTCAGGTCACCCAGAAGACACGTCCTGGGGCTCTGGCTGGGATGCAGTCAGCAGGAATCCTGGCTGGCCCCATTTCTTTCTAAGGAGAAAAGAAGGAATAACTCCTGTCCAGGGAAGGTGCGCCTCCGGAAGCCACCCAGCCTAGGTATCCCTTGGCGTCCGTCCTCCAGGCCTAATCAAAGAGACAGTGCAAGGGCAGGGAAGAGACGAAGAGGCTAGCCATCCAGTCGGGAGAGAGGAGAGAGGCCAGGGGAGAGAGTCAGAGACACAGGTGGAGAGAGAAAGAGACCCACCGAAAGACAGGTAGACAGACACATAGACAGATACACGGGGAGGAACAGACGTGACAGGGCGCCAGAAAGACACCCACAACGACAGAATGAAGTTGGAGGTAAAGATGTAGACAACAAGGACACACGCGGAGACCGGAATCAGAGCCCGAGCTCGCGGGGTGGCGCAGGTAGGGAGGGAGCTGTGCGGGGAAGCCCGAAGGTGGATAGGGCCGGAGAGCATCAGGAGCAGAGGAACCCGAAGGCAGGCGCGACGCGGTGGCTGGCTCCACACCCCCACAGGGCGGGAGCAGAGTTGGGGGCTGCGCCTGGATCCCCGGCAGGGGGCGCCCCGGCCGCGTGGCCAGACCGAGCGGCCGGGCTCCGGCAGGGGGCGGGGCGGGGGCGGTATGGGGGTGGGATGGGGGGCGGGGAGGGCCCCCGGGGCCTGGGCCGGGGGCGGGGTGGGGTGGGCTGCCCAGGCAGCTTTCGGGCCCCGCGGCCGCCTTTATAAGCCCGCGGGGGAGGTGGCCCCGGCAGCGTTGCGCTCCCGCCACTTCGCGCCCTCAGGCCCAGCGTCCGGATCCCACATCACTTGTGCCAGGACAGACTCTACTCCACGAACTCCGCGCAGGTAAGAACTGGACGTTGTCCTCGGCTTCCCCGGACCCCGGGGACTCGGTAGATCCCTCCTATATCTCCACTCGCTCCGGGATGGCGGCGGAGAGGCTGGATACAAATGGCAGGGCAGGGACCTCCGCACCTCATCTCCCATGGCAACCCAATTCGGGACCTCCAGCCCCTTGTCCCGCTCTGGTACACGCGCGCATCCGAGGCTCCTGGCTGGTGGGCTGGGGCGGCTGGATGGACGTGGCCCCTGTGGAGCCCGCAAGCTAAGGGAACCCCGATGCAGTACTGGCCTCTCCAGCCTCCTGGACCACTTCCTGGGACCCCCACCCTCGCTCCCCGCACCTCCCCCAGATGCCCGGAGACTGAGCAGCCCCTACGGTGTTCCATTGGTCAGAGATCTTAGGCTACCAACCTCAGGCCCCTGCCTTGGCACACTCTCTTGCTTCCCACCTAATACCCTCTAGATCTCGTCACGACCGCCAGGGGAGGGTGCTGGTCTGCCCCGTTGGGGTCTAAAGTAGTTTGGACCAGAGCTGGGAGCAGTAGAGGGAGGGAGGCGCTCGGGTCCAGGAACAGCTGGGGGAGAAGAGAGGGGGCTTCCCAGGGCGCGTGATTGGGAGTGGGGTTGGGCACAGCAGCCATGGGTCAAAGCTCTGGAGCCCCCCAAGCCGAGGGAGCCTGAGACTCACCTCTGGGCTTGTATGCAAGTGAGTGGGTTGCTCAGGGTTGGTTCCTTCTGTGTCCAGTTTTGATAAGTGTTAAACACATAGTCAACAGTGGTGGGGTGGGAAGCTGAGGAAAGCCCTGTCTTCCCCCGACATTGTCTTTTTCTGACACTTTCAACACTTAATGGGGCTGGGGGAGGGGGAAACCCTGGAGATCCAAAGACTGGGCGACTCTCAGCCGGGAAGGGCCTTTAGTGTCCTGGGAAAAGCTTAGATTCCGCAGGTGGGCGGGGTTTCCCTGGGAGGCAGGAGTTGGCTCGCACCCCAGAGAAGAGGACGCCACTGTTTGAGAGCCTACTGCGTCCGGGACCCTCTCCCATACCTTAGGGTGCATCACATTGTTTACAAACGGGGAGAGTGAGGCTTAGAGAACTTAACTAAGTAGTTAAGAAATTAAGCAGATAGGGGCCAGGATTCACACCCAGACTAAACCCCACAACCTTAGCCTCCTACTTCCCACTCTAAGGCCCAGGAGATGAGGGGCTGAACTTTGGTTCCTCTTCCCCACCCACCTTCAGGGCTCAGTCCCGCCTCCTGTCACCCCCAGACCTGCCCTCTTCAAATCTGTAGTCCTTCCCATCTACAGATTGTCCCCATCCCGCCCACTCTAACCTACGCCTCGCCCTTATCCCTCTGCCTCCTTTTTTTCTTCCCGAACTCCATGCCTCCGAATTCCCTAAGCAGGAGAGGCCCCCCGGAGTGAGACAAGCTTGGGTGTCTGTGTCTGTGGTGCCACCTGTAAAGTGGGGGCTGTGCCTCTCTGCTGCGACTGTCATTGTAAAGAATAAAATGGAACTGAGGCCAGAAACAAAATTTAACAGCCCTGTTTTCGTGCTGGGAACACAGCAGTAAATGAAGGCAACAAACGCCCTCTTCCCAGAGTGGACATTCAGACATTAGCAGAACAAACTTTTCAGGCTCTGAAATTGACATTGTAGAATTGGAATGGAGCAATTCACAAGGAAAGGGATTAAAGTGCAATCACAGCTCTGGCCGTGTGGCTCAGGAGGTGGGAGCGCTGCCCCTGTGTGCCGAGGTTGCTGGTGGACCGCCTGGAATCAACCAGTGGGTGCATGGGTAGGTGGAGCCACAGACTGGTGTTTCTCTCTGTCTCTCTCAAATCAATAAATACTTCTTTAAGTGTAATAACACATAAAATTGATCCATCAACATTTGGTCTTCACTAATAGACAAGGCAACCTAGCTGTGTGACCTGGAATGAGCTCTGTTCCCTGTCATGCCTCAGTCTCCTCCTTTAGGCAGAGATCAATAAATAGTCCCTATTATGTGTTGGCATCTAAATTAATGCATGCTGAGTGTTTAGCTGGCGCCTGTGCTTAAGGGAATACTGGCTATTGTCAGCTCTAATCTTGGCAGAAAATGCCACACTGAGACTGAGTGTACGGTTACGTCATTGCCCCGACCCTGGAAACCCGTCACCCACCTTTGTCCAGGCTCCTCTCATTCCCTCTTATTCCCTGATGGGCTGTGCCGTAGGGTGGCCTGGTGCCCCCGCCCCCACACACACTCAGACACCTACCACCCTAAACACAAGCTTGCCTAGGCGCCCGGACTCTGTACCGTGAAAGGGTATGAGGCTGTTGCCTCCACAGGGCCTGCCCCTCTGCCTGTTGTGCCTTGATGTGCCTGGATATGGGGGGAACCCAGACTCAAGCCCTGCCTGTTCTGTGGCTTACATACCCGGCATTCCCAGCAAGCTAGATGTGGTCCTAGCTTTACAATGGAAGAGGCAGGTCTTGGAGAGGAGAAACAACTTGTCCAAGGACACATGCGCTGCCAGGGGAGCCGGGGCTGGACGGAGCCTGGGTGTCTAGAATTCCAAGCACAGGGATCCCCCATGTCGTAACCGTCTCTGCGGATGAGGCCTCTTAATCCAGGGGTAGGACCCAGTGGCATAGTCTGGAGTTCTCACCTTGAAATAGAAACTGGAGTTATTAATACAAACCCCAGAGCTCAAAGAGAACCTTGGGGGGAGAGACCAAACTGAGCTGAGAACCAGCGCTCAGAAATCTCCATGTGACCACAGGAATGCTGACTCAGCTCCCTAGCCTTGGCTGCGCTGGGCTGTGCGGTGTGTTTCTGTTTTGTTTCATTTTGTTTTATTTTTTCTTCTAGAGATGTCCTCACTTTCAGAGGGCAGCTGGGGGCAATAGATGGGAGGTCTATTCCCAGCACGCCTGTGGTGACCCTGAACAAGTCACTCTTCTTCTCTGAGCTTCAGATAAGGGAATCTTACGTCGTGTGGGTTCATCACGTGCACTTGGCAGATTGCTGTGAGGGATGAGCAAGATCCTAAATGGTTTTTCATCACTGGGCTGAGCCCGTGTTGGAGATTGTTCTTGAGATGTTAATATTCCTTGTGGGGCAATGTCAGCTGCATTTTTCTTCATCACACAGGTGATCATAAGGGCCAGAGGGAAGGCCCTGTTCAGGTCACAAAGGCCTAGAGACAGCAGGGGAAATGCTGGCTTTGTTTGGGGGCAGCATCTTGGGTTCCGATGGTAGCTGAGTGGCCGGAGGCAAGTCCCTTCACCTCTCTGAGTGTCAGGTCCCTAGTAGGCCCTCAACAACTTTGATAGGATGCTCAGTGTCCAAAGAACATTTAAGAATAGTGTCCATGTTTTTCTGCCTCCCCATACCACCCCCCAACATTTCGTAATTGCTCCCAGAAAAACACGCTTCAAGTTTTCCATGTTGAAATTCTCAACCTCACTGTGGCATGAAATCAATTGTTTGCATTTGATTTGACTTCTCAAATTAAGGGGTAAAATTTGAGATGAGGGTAGGGGGTGGGGGGGGAGGAGATGAGAAAGATGAAGTTAAACCAGATGTGTTTTTGTTTAACGGCAGGGTGGTGGTTAAACTGCCCAAGTATTACCAACGTTCCTTCTGAGTTCCAGTAACCAGGAGTCGGGTTTCACTAAAAATTGTAGTGTTCCTTCCTGGCTGGTGTGGACTCACCCTCCCCATTATTATTATTATTACTATTTTATGTTCATCTGAGGCCACAGAGGACTGGCCAGAAAGGAGACCTCACAAATGCCTAGAATTTCAGAACTGGAAGGCATTTCGGGGCTGGCTTTGTCAACCAGCTGCTTTGCAGACCCTGGGGGACTGAGGCCCCCAGAGGGGCGGGCAGGGCTTGCTCAGGATCACCCAGCTTGCCTAGGGCAGAGTTGGCCTATGAATTCTGTCTCTCAGCTCTAAGCTCCACGACCTTTCCCAAAGTAACCAGTGTCCTGAATAGGATCTGTTTCCTTTCCATGGGACATCCTTAATGTTACCTTTATTATTTTTTTAAAGAAAAAAATTGTTCAAGGGAGGATGCGGAGAGTATGAGTTGGTAGAGAAAGACCTTCAGCTCAGAAGAGGAGAGTTTAAGTCCTGCAGTTACTACCTGCGTGACCTTGGGCAAGTGATTTCCTCTCTCTGAGCTGCAGCTTTCTCATTTGTAAGCCAAGGTGCCTGAGGAGCACAAGTGGTGGTGGGGGGCTGGATTGAGACTTCCCTAAAACTTGGAATGGGTCTAACTTAATCAATTGGTCCTCAAATATTTATGGCCTAGATTATGGCAGGTCAGTCACAAACTGCCTACCTATGGCAGCAAGGGACAGGTGTGGTGGATTGTTGACCCACAGTGGGCCAATCTCTGCCTGGCACCCAAGGCTGGCACTAATTAGTAGCCGCTCCGTCCACTTTACCACAGTCCCCACCAGTCTCTCACACCCAGCCCACTTGCCTCATTGACATTACCTGCCTGCCTTCTGAGTCTGTAGTTTCTGGACTGGGGGCATGAGGCCATGGAAGTGGGGCTCAAATCTCATCTGAATGACTGCATGAAGCTTGGGCCAGCCCACAGTGGGTTTGGGATAGGAATGTGGGGTGTGTGGACAATGGTCCCTCTTCTGTGGCCTGGCAGTGACTCTGAAACATGTTGGCTTGGTGAAGGGCGGTTTCTTCCT